GCCCGACTAAAAACGAGTAGGAGTGTTTTATCGTGAGATATGTTTTTATCCACGATAAAACACGAACTACAATTTTTTTAAATGACTTCTAAAACCCAAACCTCGGAAACTACAATATTTTAGTTTAACATGAAATAAATAAAAAAATATCAAAAATGAATAATKGATGAAGATAGCGACCATCTGAGCATGAACAGTAATTAACTTAGGTTTCCCACATTCAAGCGCCACTATGTATTAGTCTACTATGAATCATAGGCTACCCAACTATTGCTTGAGAGAAAGAAAAGAACGAATGCGCACGCTTCTATATTATGTTATCGAATCGCATCGCGCTGCGGGTTTCCTGTGGTATTACGTCATTGATCYCTTGCCTCGCGGGTATGTTATCGAATCGGCGCGCGCTGCGGGYTACTTTACGTCACGATTCCGCGTCTCGCGGGATACAAACTAGTCTGTGACAAGGTATGAAACACTGGTCACGTGACAAATATAATTTCGCTMCTATTTCACCGAAAATCAGCAGAAAACGACGATTTTCTTTCAAATAACTACACATCGCCAGATTCCCTAACTGTCTCTCGATTTTCAGCGTGAAATGTTTATTACATGACGAGAAAATGAAAATTAAGCATTTTACTCGCCGTGGACCGATGCGTGTCTATCCCTCCCTATCGTTTTTTTCCGTAAAGACTTCGATACCTTTCGGAAAACAGTCGTGTGTTTATCGAGGCGTAAATAAAAAGTTAAGAATAAATTAACTTTCTTTAAAAAAGGAAAAGGAAACACATTGGCAAAATGTAAATAAACAAAAACAAATTTAAAATTTTTGAAATACGGAAACTTTTCGAGGTCTTCAGAGTTCACACAGAAACAGATACTAAAAACATTGGTTATTATGGTTAAATTAACAATCAAATCCAGTTAAAAACTGAAAGAAGCTTTATTACAATTTCGAAGTACAAGTATACAGTATTTTGAACATTTTTGTTGATCTCAGTCACATTGGATTCAGTAAACACCCAACAGTTGTAAAATAAGCTTATGCAATATTGATGATTTGTCGAGTGCATACAGGTTTAACGAAGTTTTTACGAGTTTTCAATCATCTAAAATTACTAGACGACATTTTTCATTAWATCAAAATAGAYGARTTSTKCCTCATAATCAGATAAATAGCAAACCAAGCGGTAAAACGTAATAAGCTTACTGCTCACTCGAGTTCACCGAGAAGAATTTCTGAGCATGTGGAAAGACAAAAAGTCCGCGTTACTTAGACACAACTTAGAATCAGGCCATGAAACTATGAAATTAGAAAATGCTGCCATTTTATCCTCAAAGTTGAAAACTTATGATAAACCTTCTCGTAGAGCAGAGTCACATGAACCATGAAATAAGAACTAAAAWGTAMTAACTAATAGGGACTATTAGTTCCTAATAGTCGTTAGCACAGAACCRGAACAGTTTATTTGATCCAATAAGCAATACCCAAGGGGCCACTTTAACAATCAAAGTAATCTCTTTGTACTGTTCTGGTTAGGTGATAGTGTCTAAATAGTGCCTATTAGGTACTAAGTATTTAGTTTCTATTTCATGGTTCAAGTGACTCTGCTCTAGTACTCTTTCTATTTAA